ACTTTTTGTGTCTATGTACTGATTCCATAATAATCCTCCCCAGACGCACCGTCTAATTTTGACCTGGCATTCAGAGGCAGTCATTGAAGGCAATTTGTCACTTTGCATCATGCCGTCGATGAACTACTGCGAGCGTTCACCATAATGATGTGGATTTGCACGGTTACAGCTGGGGGGGCCATCCGGTCCTATGCAACCCAGAGCTCTGGACAGACACTGGACAATGCAGAGTTTGCTATCAGCAATCCTGGGGCATTGCAAGTCTACATTCAAGGGTAAGCTTCACTTATTTGACAGCACCGCTTCCTCTCTTACCCAGAGTGTGACTCAGAAATATGGAAACATGCCGCTCAGTGGCATCTCTATTCTGGTGTGATAATTTCCTGCTAAAAATATGCCCATTTCCTGCAGGCAGTTTCGTTAGATGTCTGTGGAAGTGTTCCTGGGATTCTAGTTAGAAATGTGTAACTAGAGATGTTAAGAGAGAACATTCGTTATTGTTTATGAACAAGTGACCAAAATCACCGAGGTAGTTGTCTGTGATGAAAATGAGTAATTAGAATTCCCTGTTTAACAGTGCTGTTAAAAGTACAGTCCATCATTGTTTGATTTTGCCTTGTGATCCTTTGAGGCAAGAAAATTCCTCAAATCTGAAGAAGAATGGCTGAGAACAAATCTGACAAAGTGTCAGCTCAGTGAATACTATATATTCTTAGAAAAGCAATATTTTAGGATTTCAGATCAAAATTTGCTGAGTTTTGAATTTTTGTCTCAATTTAGCATATGGGATGCATTCTTTCATCCAGTGAAATGCAGCTACTGGATGTCATGTACTGTAACAAAGTGTATTAATCCTGCGCTTTTGCGTGTCTTGTAAACACTTGTGGGCACCTCTTATGGCAGTTTTCCAAAAATGCATCTTTAGACACATCATTTGGAAATGGGCCTTTTTCATTGTCTCCCTCAAAATAACAGCTTGCTAGAAAGAAGAATATCACAGGGAGTTTAGTTCCATAACTGTCTTTAAATCAAGTATGTTTTGCGACAATAATTTTGTCGAAGTTTGTTACATTTTGGATTATTGAAAATGATGGACTGTTACTCATTGTCATTTGGTCAAATTTTTGGGTGGAATGAACTTGTTACACTTAAACAACAGCCAGAGAAGCCCATCACAATGCCTCTTCTTTTGTCTTTGTGGTATATATAGGTATCAGTTTACTTCCTTTGTCTCTGTGAGTGACAACCACTGGCATCATCTGGCCGTCACATGGGACAGGCACGGTGGCATTCTCAAGATCTACCGAAAGCTGTATGTTACACTCAGCCATAGCCAGTTGATCTGGACATAGCCTGAGCTGATGTATTAGAGAGCTGTATGTTACACTCAGCCATAGCCAGTTGATCTGGACAGCCTGAGCTGATGTATTAGAGAGCTGTGTGATACTCTCACTCTGATGATCCCTTGTTATACCTCAGGTCAGTGGCTGCAGCACCCAGAGTCCTGCCGACCACACCCACAGACGGTGCCACCGATCACTTGAGCCGATCCAAATTACCATCAAGCTGGAACGTGATATCCATGGCCCAGACCAACAGAACCTGACCAGTGAACAAGGTCAGAGAATGATGGCTTATCCCATCGGTATAGTTAGACCCTGGGCATGGTCAGGACAGATGTGGTTTGATTGAGTAAATGATTGCAACAAATACAAAGCTTGCCTTTTCATTGAGTATTGCCAACAGTTAGGAAAGGTGGTGAGAATTAGCAACTGAAGGCATTTGCAGTAATCCAGCAACAACTTTCAACCTTTGTCATTTAAATTTATAAGGAGAATAGATGCTAAACTACCAAATTATTTGTAGCTGTGATATTTGTTATGAGCTGTCAGTTGCTTGCTCATGAATTGGTGAATGAATAAAGTACTATGAATGGCCAGCATCCAACGTGATTGCAGGTTTATGTTTCACATAGATCACGTACAGTTACTGTGAAACATACCTCTCATGTAACTGAGGAAAACACTCATTTGGAAAAAAGATCAATTCAATACATGCTGCGGAATTTTTCTCTGAAAAGCTGAGAGAAGTACATGTACAAAACATGAGTATAGATGATAGCTGTAGATGATGATCTTCTCTATACAACCCATCCAGTGACCACCCAAAGCAGCATGGCGGCGGCCGTCAGTGACCTGCAAGACTCAGCGCTTCGTCTGATCAATCATTCTGCATCAGGCCTGTTTGCTGTGAACATGGATGCTCAGGTTTATGATATAGACACTGAGAGGACCCAGACCTATGGCACACAAGTCTGTCCCCATGGCTCGGTGCAGATTAGAGATTACGGGAGGCACGATGTGGTAAGTGCTGCCTTGTTTTAATTTCTTCTGTTTCAACATTTCCTTTTAAGATTTACGGCTCGCTGTTTAGTGCTTCGGACTGATGCTTTCAAAGGGAATCCCATATTTCCAGTTGGTTGTGCACGAGACATGGGCGTCAATCAGTGGGGGATGGGGGGGCATGTCCCCCATTTTTCTGAGTGGGGGATACTATATCAATTCCCCCCCCCTACTTTTTTCCCAAACCTAAATGAAAATGTATGGTTATAGTAGCCAGACATTGTCTTAGATCACACCACAGAGTGTCTATACTCCAAACTGTCCGGGGCTCACTCAAGGGCCCCAGATCCCACGCCACTCAGAGCTTTGCGCTCGCATTTGTTCTGATCAGTGCTATGGCCCCCCCCCACTATTCAAAACGGATTGACACCCTTGGCACGAGAGTAGGATTATGATGAGTCTCAGCAGGGAAATATGTGCTTATTTGTTGTTTTGTTTTGTTTTAAGTGGTGCTAATAAATCAGCCTGAAGAAGTCTACAGATGTGGCTCTAAGGAATATCCTTTATTGTGCTAGCTAACATAGTGTTTGAGGCAGCTTTGGTGCATGTTAAGCCCTTCGCGACGGGAAGCGGCTATAGCTGAAAAATTGAGATCCTCAGCCCGCTTTTCAGCTATTATTTTTGGCCCACGCACGAGCGAACATGGTAAAAGAAGGCAGACACTGGCTCTTGTATATATGGTAATTGGCCTTTGTGTGTAGCCCAGAAATGAAAAGACCAAATTTGCATCATAATCACCAGCTTCACAATAGTCCCCACTTTGAAAAGAGGCAGCGGGAATGTGGAAGGGTGAGTAGAGCTGCATGCCACCAAACAATCAGCCTTTTCACCGTGTAACTCAAAGCGTGCAGAGCACGCAGGGCCACAAACTGAGAATTTGCGGTTTGGTAGGTGGCCTTCGTGGCCAAGCGAGGCTGGAATTCTTGGAGTCGGCTTTCGGAAAGAAATTCCTGTCATCAAGGGGTTAAAAATCTGGAGCAGTGAAACTGTTTATGGAATGCATCCACCTTTGCATGATCTTATGGCATTGCAGGATCTTGTAAGAACCTTGTTAGACAATCATTTCAATAATGCTAATCATCTCTGGTTTTCTCTCTAACAACCAGGAGGCTTGTTATGCCTGCCCACCTGGCATGTACCAATCACAAGAGGGCAGCACCTACTGCCAAGCCTGTCCACGTGGACATACCACCGTTGGCCCTGGTGCCACAGGGGAAGAAGATTGTGTGGTCATCACACTGTAGTCCCTAACTGACAAGTTTACAAGATCATCTAAACTCCTGATCTCCTTTGTGAAGCCTTTTACATAGGAAAGCTTTCATTACGCTACTTTTGTAACATCAGCCTAATCCAACTTAAGCTGATACCCAGATTCTTGGTATTTAAGCAATTGATGATTAATGGAATAAAATGTGACACATAATGTAACTGGACGTTGATGCTCTCTAGTCAAAATTAAGACTTTAAATTGAAGGATGCCACAACAATAATGGAAAAGTAAGTAGAAAACAACTCCATGGCCACACCAGAATATTCAGAAAGAATACTTGGGAAAAATGATGATAAACCATTGCAAAAGAAAAAAATTGAAAGTATTTGCAAAATGTGAACCAGATGACGAGCGATGTATAATTGCAGTCTTTGGTAGTTCAGTTTGCATGCATGGACAGAAGTGCATTTCTAAAATGAATGATGCTAATTCCAAATTTGCATATGTTACCATAAAAATCTGATAATGTCCAAAAAACACGTTTGAGTGCCTGAGCTCTTAAGCAGTAGGAGCATGTGCATGCAATCTGTATTCCATGCTTTAAAAGGGCACACAGAATGTCTCTGAGTGCCAGGTTTAGGGAATTTTAGTTGTGGAAAACTACATTAAACAGATGCATTTTCAACATCCACAGAAACTTTATTTCAGCAGGGTTTTAGAAGGAATTGCAGACCAGATAGCTCGATTAAAAGTGAGATCGATTCAGAGATCATAGAACTTGTATTGGCATGCATTGTGCCACATTTGCCATCAAATTCTAATCACACGTGTCACTTTGATCGTTTTTACCCCTCATTTTCTCAAAAGCTGAAAGATCTCACAAAATTTTTGTTTTGTCAGTGTCATATTCTTTGAAATTTAGTCAGTCTTTGTGTAGTTAGCTTTGTAGCTGTCGTCAGGTGCCAAAAAGATTGCTACTTTTTACTCTTTTTTTTCAATTGCAGAACATTATGTTTCTGCTATTCAAAGCTTTACTTCTTAAACCGTAAGTTCGTATGATTTTGACATCTGTTTATTGGTACAAAATCGTCATATACACTCACTCAGAAGAAAAGTGAACTTTACCAGAGGCCTTGTTTTTGCTTTTTTGAAACTAAAATTGAACATATATGTACTATTTTTAATGTGACTCATTTGCTCAGTGTGTAATAAAACAGGTTTTACATACTTCTGCTTGCTCATCTGAGTTAATATTATTTGGATTGTCCGTTATGTAAGGGACGTTATATGAAGCCCAAATCTGTTTTTTTTTTAATTAAAGGTCGTCGTTGCATTGAATTTGTTTCAACAATTGGAAAGGGGAGTGTAATGGGAATATAATTTATGCTGGTACATTAAGTATGTACATACGTATTGTGGTGTAGGGTGTGGAACAAGTAGGATATTTGCCCGTGTCCGCCGTCCTCTTTTTTTAAAAGCTGTTTTTGACGTTTATTATTAAAAGTGTTAAATCCTATTTTTCTTTATTTCAACCTCATTCAGTGTGTTAAATGTCATAATAAAAACGAAAAAAAAAATTCAAGGTGATGATTTCCTCTTCAAAGGCCTTCCCTGCCCTGTATTACAGATAATATATAAATGAGGAAGTGAGAACATCCAAAATATTTCACACGTCACGACATTTAACAATCTAATTTCTCCCTCAAGGGTTATGCAGTGTATTTATATTATAATTTGGCATCCGGTTGAGGAAAATGATTGGTCTACGGAAAATTCCTTGCTCTGTGATTGGTTGAGCCGTGGGCGGAATTATTTTCTGTTTTATGCTGGACCACGTGGTATAGGCAGACAAAGGATTGAGGGCAGAAACGTGCACGTCAGCGTTGACTGGACGCCATTAACCGTTCTGTTAGGCCTTTTTTTTTCAGTAAAACCGCTGTTAAATATGTGTTCTGGGAGATGAGAAAACGTCTCTGGGCATCCTCAAGATTTCCAGAAGAATCTTATCCTCGTTTCATCTTCTCTTGGTTGTGTTTGAACACCACGGGAGTTCCGAACCCCGAAAGAGCTGCAGATTTTTTCACAAGCATTTTCTCGGTACGTTGAAAAGCACATCACAGCACATGATGTAGGCCTAGTAATGAAAGGGGGAATTGTGCATTTGGGGACCCCCTTACTGACGTCCGTACGTATATGGAACTCTACCCCACGAGGGCATCAGTTGTGGTCCATATGTGGAACTAGTACTCCTTCCTTTCGTCAATTTATTTCTGGGTAACAGTGATAAAATATATGCAAGATGCAAGGCTCTGTACATGAAAAATAAAAACGTGAGGGCAAAGAAGCAGTGGTATAACTGTGGCCGGAGGGGGGAGGGGAGATGCCCGTTCCCGTTCCCCGGGTGCCCCCTCCCCCAGATATTTAGCCCTAGTTACACCACTGCAAGGAAGAATTGCAGCACTGGCTGTTAAAGGGGGTTGCAACCCCTACTGATAAAATGGCAAAGAGAAAAAATGGAAAGCAGAACAGATGAAAGGGCATGGATATCAAATTATTGCTGATTTAAAATACCTCGGAATTTAACCCCCCCCATCCACTGTTCAATGTTGGTCAGTCTTCTGTTGCTGGCGGATGGAAAAGGAGGCCTTGTAGAACGACATGCATGTGATGCACATCTTCTACATGGCCTCCTTTTCTGTCGTGGGTCCTCTTTGCTGATGCCCAAATCGCCAAATGTACTCGGGCTATACTTCAAGACACAATAAATCTCAAGGCATATGTAATTTCTTGACCTTAAGGGCCTGATGGTGTACGAGATGAGATGGGAACCTGCAAAGGGGAGTGGCATATGAGATGCCCTGCTGGAGATGGCTCATAGTGGTTACTCTACAGCATGAATTTGTAAATATCTACAGGGGTTGACGTTACTCATAATTGTCTTATTTTCCAGGCTAGAAGTCTTGACCCGTGTAAGATATTTAAAATTTACATGTTCCAAAGTGACCAAATCTTATTCCTTTCTAAAAGAAAATGCTTTTGCCCTCCCCAAAATAGTTGCAGCTGATTGCAACTGATACATGTAGGGGTGATAGACCCTGCCTGTGCACCGCAAGATTAAATAGTAAAATCAAACCATGTATTTGGCTGACAATGTTACAACCTGTCTTTGGACTTTTTTATAAACAGAAATCAGCATTTGGCCAAGTCATGAAGTCACCAATTAAGGTGTGTGGATGGACCTTCAACTTGAAGCCAAAATACTGACAGGTAAGAATCAAAAGCCCTTGCTAGTGTGGTCTGTTCCATGCTCCATCAAAACTAGAATGTGCTTGCATCCAAAATGTCGTCTGTTGCATCATCAGACATTTCAAGAAAACTCCGTCGAGGGGAGATTTTGAAAAACTGAGTTCGCAAACTCTTGAATATTTGTTGGGATTTTGGGGGATATCCCATGAAAGCCCCTTTTGTATCATCATGGCAATGTTTGTGCAGCTGATGAAGCATGTTTTGATGGAGCAGGGAAGGGACAAATCTATAGACCTCCCCCTCCAACGTGACTGGATTGCGCTAAATGTAAACAATACCACCACGTGTGGACCTTCCCCTGCCATGTTGATCACATATACTCCTACAGGCTGCTTCAACCACGAACAAGGGCACGTGCGAATGATGCATGCCTGACTAGTTTATCTTGAATAAGTAGATTGCCATCACAACACTATGCACTCATTACCATCACAACACATCGCGGTAAAGCACGATTGTGATATCACAGGAAAAAGGTCTATACTTTCACCAAAAAGTTGTAATTCCATTTCTGTAATGCATGTACTTTAGAAAAGAGAAAAATCAGCAACCTGTGTTACAAAGATATGAGATTTTATTGCCATGCTTGGCCAGCCCTTTGGTAAGTGTAGATAGTTGGAGCTTCTGACCAGTAGGTTATTTCATAAAAGCTACACAGACTAAATTTTCCTAGTTTAATCAAGTTGATGCATTTTTAATTTCCCATTTATTTGTCTCGTAATACATGTATGTCTTATTATGGACAAAGCTCACATTCAGGGGAGCCAGGTTGTTGTAAAGTCGTTCTTTCCTTTTGCCTCTGTGACCTAAAGGTCCAATTTCATTGGCGTAGGTTATGCAGGATTTCAATGGTCCCCAGGGGGTTAGGGTTAACTGATTCCACAGGTTTTCCTGGGAATAATTATTGGATATCCAGGGATTTCCTTCCATCCCTGGCTTCTTCATTTTCCCTTATAATCACCCTGTAATTAGAACTTAAATGGGTTGTTGGATAAACATGAATAAACATCCGCAAATGAGAGTCCTCAAATTTACCAATAAATGTGTTCACTTTTCATCAGATGTGCACTCTGCACATTGACTGTTACTCCTCAAGGCATCAAAGAAAAAATTTCCTAGCACGATTGGTTTCTTTGGAAGGGGGCTCTTCCTATTCAAATACGATGTCTACTGAGGTAGTTATTTGTCAGTAAATACTCGCATACCATTAGTCAAATAGTCTGTCAATACTTCATTCAATATCACATTTATGCTAACAATGTATATTCTCGACTATCAATCCCGTCAATCCTATGTAGCAAGGTGATGAAGTTGGTGCCTTGTAATAGTTGTTCAGTGTGTTACAATTTTCATACCTGATATTAGACAAGCTGAATTTTGTCAATGACAAAAACTGTACAACATCTCACATTTCATCTCAGTGACATTGAACTATTTTTCTGTGCAAAACCTAGGTGTTTTTTGCTACCACAACATGATAATGTCTGATGATATTACATAACCCTGTCATTCCTAAACTGGCATATCTGCAGTTTTAGTTAGATGAGATTTCTTGACTTTGAAGCAATATGCCACAATGCAGTACATGCTCACATTCTATCCACTCAGATAATTTCTGCTGCCTACTTAATGGCATTTCTAAGAATAAATTGTTTCTTTCAAAACAAAGCAGAAATCCACACAAAGCTTCTCTGGCTTCCAGTTAATCAATGTATTCAATTCTGAACATTATTCTGCACTTTTAAATCATTAGCTCTGTTTCATACCCTTCTCTCTTCTCTTCTGAGTATCCAAACCAATTTATATTCCCTTCATTTTTCTTGTATTTTGCTGTCTGTAAGTCTCAAAGAAGGCCGTAGATGGGGCTCTGTTACCCCTTGCCTCTGTAACAATCTACCCCATCAAATGAGGAGTTCAGTATATCAGCATTTAATTTTTGCCAGAAACATATCTTCCCCTGACCTTGGCAAATTGTCTAACTGTTGTCTTCTTTTCTCTTTCTAAGCACCTCATACTCAAATGATTTGGTGCTATATAAACACAGTTGTTATTGTTTAAGTTTCATCTATGCCAATTTTCTCAATTGTTGGAAACTGAATCAGTTTGCAAAATAATCTGCATTGCCATCATTTGATACTTGAGCTGAGACCTACATGTATAGTAATTTTCCTTCTGGTCATCTTATAACAATAGTAAATACCACAATGAGAACCAGTTGGAGTTGGTGACAACTAGTGGTGGAATGATTTTCAAGGTTGGGGCAGGGGCAGGGGCAGGGGTAGTTGTGAGGTACATGTATCAGATCCTGGCCATCAATAGACCCTATTCGCGTGGAGGCCATTTTTGATCTCATCCCCCAAATCTGTTGTATATATTGCAAACTGTCGATAAGGATGTCACCAGACTGTTTTATACTTCCATGCATTCCAAGCCTCCCTTTCAATAATTTTTGGAATCTGGCAAGTTACAATACTGTGTGTTCAAGCATGAATTTGAAATTATTCATCGGAGTAGACAGGTGGCCATTGGTCATGAAATTTCATTTTATAACTTCATTAGTACTCTCAACATTCAAAAATGAAGAGCTAACCTCGCTTTCAAATTCAATATGGCCGGCACCCTGAATAAAGTCTGTAATCTGATCCATTAAACCCTGCCAAAAGTAGAGGGGCTAAGTTCCCCAGTAAAAAAGGGGGAACCCCTGCCCCTGTTCTGCACCAGAGGTTGGTGGTAACTGAAAACAGTACTGTTCCCATAAAATGTGCATAAAAGCACACCTCTATCAGTACATTAAGTTCCTCTAATCTACTATTTGCAATGTGCCCCCAAGTTTCCACTAAAAAGAAAATGTAGTATAGTTCATGTGTTTGTGAGAGATTTCTGTGAAATTTGATGCATAGATCATAATATATATCAGTTTTTCACCAACTTCCCACAGTACTGTTAGTTTTTTTATGTGTGCGATTACATGTGTGATTTGGAATCCTTTGCATCTGCATTTTTGTAAGATATTTTCCTCCCAAAGCCAAAGTTGGAAAGGCTCCATGGGAACACCATAAATTCCTGTTGCATGATTACACAAATTGGTAAAATTCTGAGGTAGTTTCACCTTGTATGACAAGGAAGAATGAAATATTTCTTGAGACCATGTCTTGACATCCTCTATTAAGGGTGAGGCTCAGTAAATTCCAACATATCTGGGCACGCAAGTTGTGAAATATTTGTTAATGACGTGTATAAAAGGCTTAATTATTACAAACAGGTAAGGATTTTTCCATTTGTCGACCAAGGAAAACATGACATACTCTTTTAATTCGGAATCCACCTATGAATGAGGAAATGCTCCAAATGAGTAACTACTTTCTTCATTTACAATGAACTTCGAATCATGTAACTTTTTCTGACACAATAAAAACTTAGGATGCTGAGAATAAAGAACAAATTAGACTTTTTGCATAGTTTTATTTAGTGCATAATCTATATGCACAAGACTTGCTTTTCCTACTTGTCTGAATACTGCTGATATTTCCAATTCCCCAAAAGTGAAGTTAAACACTATTTTCGAATGCATGCCCTGATAATGTTCAACATCTCTGCAGACAATATTCGTAATAGGATTATGTTTAAAAATGGTATTTGTCCAGTCGTGTACATTGTGGACTTTTGAGGCCAACTTCTTTGCAGTGATGCTGCTTGGTTAAATGAGGCCTTAGTCAACTTGGTTAGTCATTTTTAAAATTTTAGACAGCCTAAGGTTTAACCATTCCAGAATGAATAACTGGCCCACTAGAATGTGTTAAATTCATGATATTGTTCGGAAATTTTAATTGCCGTGCAAGAACACCATTCAAAGTAATATCAAGCCCTGATATTTCTTTTAATTATGAAGATACTATGTTTATTCTGATGTGTAACTGAGAGAGGATGCCAACACTTCAAAAACAAAACAAAAAGTCAAATTGGCACCAATTTCTCGTGTGGTGAACAGATTTTTCAAATGCACTGATTTTTCAAATGCACATATACATTGCAAACATTGCCGCATAAATTCAAAAAAGTGCTAAACTCCTTGTCCTATTTTTCATATTCTGTTTGATTGACTACATAATTCTGCAAAGTTTGGCTGAGTATCATTTGACATGTTTCCATGCACCCGGGACAATAGGCAAAATGTATACTCCAGAAAACTTTTGATTGCAATAATTCTGTGATGGCATGCTATAGCAAACCTGTTTCCTTAAATTAATTTATTTAATCCTAACAGTCCTTAATCCTTCACCTGTTGAAGGATTGAGGACTGTTAGGATATTGTGAAGTTAATTTATTTGTCTTTGGGTATAATTACTTAAGAAACCAGTAACTTAAGAACAAGAGATCATTTATACATATGAAACAAAAAATACTTTATAAGTGTTTGGTGTAAAATATAAATGTTACATTCCACTCTCACATGCTACCTGTTCTAAAAATTGTGCATATGGAGAATTTTTCACCCTCAAGTGTTAAATTTGAGATAGAAAGATCAAGCTTCTTCAGGATAAAAAAAATGAATTGATTTTGAAACCAAAAGCGGTACATGTATTCAGTGTCACTGGAGTGCAGCAATTTTAATATTTCAGGGTTATTGCATTCTATCATGTAAAGCAAAATTTATGTTTAGTTTATTCGTATATTTACAATACATTTAATCCCAACTCCTGACAAACTAAATGAAAAGAAACCATATTTTCACTAGTTTGGAAGTCCTCTGTAACAGTTTCCAAAATATTTATATGCATAAATGCTTGAAAACAATGCAGCTTTTGGGTATATTTCAAAAGAAACAAATCTTTCACCCAAAAATCAGTTGCTTTGGGGAGTAGCTCTTGTGCAGAACTAGAGCATTTCCATTGATGTGTACACTGCAAAAACTGGGGTGTTAAATTTAACACTTTTCACTGGTGTTAAAATGTTTGGTGTTA